TTTTATTTAAAAAAAAATCTTTAAAAATCATAATTAAAAAAATTCAGTTTTAAGTTTTACTTTATGTTTTTGCTCTGAGCTGTTTCTTGTGTCCCATATCTTTCTCTTACTTGAATTTTTGTTTTGCTGGAGAACAACCTCCAGTAATTCTTTCAAACATGGACTACACACGAAAAGGCAATTTAACCTGTATCCTCCAAGATTTATTGAGGTATAATTTACATAAGTAAACTTCACCCTTTTCAGGTACAAACTTCCATGGATTTTGAGAAACTTACACAGTCATGTAACCACCACCATAATCAAGAGATATTTTCATCACCCCAAATAGTTCCCTTGTTCTTCTTTGTAGTTAGTTCCCACCCCTCCAGCTCCTGGCAGGCAATAATCTGGTTTCTGTTCCTACCATTTTGCCTTTTCCAGATGTCATATAAATCAAATCAAACAATATATGGCTTTTTAGGTCTGGCTTCTTCTACTTGGCATAATGCTTTTGAGAGTCATCTAGAGTATTGTATTTATGGAAACGTTTGAAATCCAAAAGTATAGTCATCATCGGTCATCAATGCTGTTCACCAGATATTTCTGGCTGGCTGTTTTCTGGTCTTATGATGGGGTTGTACCTCCTGCCTCCCTTGTGCTTGGGTGGGGCCATGTGATTAGTTCTGGCTGGTGAGTTGCGAGTACTCATCACTTCTGGTTCAGACCATTTAATTGACCCCGTTGAGCTCTCTCTCCCCGTGCCACAGTGACGGGCAACAGAGTCTGGGAGTGACTCTGACCAGCAGAGCACACTGCCACCCTGTGATGGACATGTAGCCAATAGACAGGTAGCTTAAATCAGCAGCACGCCTTAGTGGTTTTAAGCCTTTGAGATTTGGGTGTGGTTTGTTATCAGAGCACAATCAGCCTATGCTAACCCATACAGAAGGTTTGCTTTTTTAGCACTGGGAAATTTTCTTTTATTGTTGCTTTAATTATTTCCTTTCTCCAATTTTTCCTCTCATTTTTACTTTCTTCTTCCTTTCTGGAACTATTAGGCAGGTGCTGGAACTTTTGTTGGAAGAATCCTCCACGTCAGTTAACTTCCCTTTGTCCTTTTGGCAGTTTTCTGGGAGAAATTCTCAGATTAACCTTTCAGTTTATGACTGTGTTTTCCAGACTTATTCATTTTGCTAGTCAACCTGGCATTTTTTTAAAATCATAATTTTGTATTCATCGTTTTCCAGGACCTCTATTTGCTTCTTTTTCATAATGGGTTGTTGCTTAATGTGTGCAGAATCTTCTATGTTCTTTCTAGGGCTATTAATTATTATAGTCTTCTGTTTGTTCTGTTAACTTTATCCTTTCACTTGTTAGTTCTCAGGTAGCTTTCTTCCAGAGTGTTGGCTTTCCTTAATTGTTTGTTGACCTTTGCTGGTCTGTAATACTTTGTATTGGGGACTTTTTTTTTTCCTGCACCGTGCAGCTCGCAAGATCTTGGTTTCCCGACCAGGGATTGAACCCGCCTCCTTGACAGTGAAAGCGTGGAGTCCTAACCACTGGACGGTCAGGGAATTCCCTGTATTTGGGAATTCTGATTTGCCTGTTTGCTGATTTGATTACCATGGAGTGCTGCTGCTGATTTTTGGGGAGAAGATGGTTATCCTATGAGATTCTCTGTTCTTTTTTTTTTTTTTTTTGATTCTCTGTTCTTTACCGTTTATCGGGTGTGGAAGCTCTTTGTCCTTCATGGGAGTTGTTGGCTCCCCTGGGGCACTGCCCTGCGTGTCCCCCTGGGCACTTGCTGTTGCTGCCCACTACTCAGTAGGAGGGGGGGCGGGCAGTCATCTGCAAACTCCTATATTTTCCAGAAAACTGCCCTTGAGACCTCTTTCTAGCCATTGATTTGTGAGCCTGGAGCAACCTCCAGATCTCACTCTTGGTGGTCCTCTGCTTTTAACTGAATTTTTAACTGCTTTTCCTCAAGTCTTGCTTCTCTTCTAATACAATCTTTAGGAATTTATGATGAGGATTAAACAAAGCATGCTTGTGCACGGAATATGGCCCATACGTTGCCAGTTTGCAACTTCAGCCTTAAGAGTTTATCTCCTCCCAGGAAATTGATATTTATTTATATATTTTTTTTAAGTATTAATATATGTCCTTGCGACTTCCCTGGTGATCAGTGGTTAAGACTCCACGCTTCCACCGCAGGGGGAGCGGGTTTGATCCCTGGTCAGGGAACTAAGATCCCACATGCCGATCAGTGTGGCCTTAAAAAAATTTTTTTTTAAATAAAAGTATGTATCCTTCCACATAGATGCCTTTTGTGTTAAGAAACCAAAGAGAAATAAAGAGTACCCTGCAAAGAAAAAAGGTATACAAGTAATAATTGTCTCTTTTGGGAATTAGAAAATAGTCACCCCCTGCCCCCAGAGATAACCGGTGTTAACATTATGGTGCACTTCTGACATACACACATAAATATATGAATTTTAAAAAATTGGGGACTTCCCTGGTGGTGCAGTGGCTAAGGCTCCACACTCCCAATGCAGGGGGCCCGGGTTCGATCACCGGTCAGGGAACTAGATCCCGCATGCACAACTAAAGATCCCCTGTGCCACAACGAATATCCCGCGTGCCGCAACTAAGACCTGGCTCAGCCAAATAAGTAAATAAATAAATATTAAAAAAATTGATATCAAGCTACTGATAACTTTTTTTTTTTTTTGGCTGTGCTGTGTGGCTTGCAGGATCCTAGTTCCCCAACCAGGGATCCAACCTGTGCGCCCTGCGGTGGAAGTGCGGAGTCCTAACCACTGGACTGCCGGAGAATCCCCACGGCTAACTTTTTAAAAGTTCTTTTTCCACCCAACAACATATTATGGACATCTGTCCATGTCAATAAATATACATTTGCATAATTTAAAATGCAGTGTTTCGTTATATTGGGGACTATAATATATTCAATGAATTCCCTCTTGTTAGACATTACGTTGTTTCTAATGCCCACTCTTTACAAATGATGCTGTGTATTCACCATCCTTGTACCCACAGCCTTAGGATAAAATCATAGAGGTGGAATGGCTGTATCAAATGTGCCTGGGCATTTAAGCGTTTACCAAGGAGAAAAGTCTTCGAATAAAGGAAGGCAACTCAAAGGGTGGACTTTCAGACGTTTGCAGCCAGAGTTGGGAGCAGTGGTTTGGGCAAGTGGGGAGACCCTCAAACTCACACCAGCTGCCAGTCCGTCTGGCCTATCCCTCCTTGGAGACCTACAGGGAAGGAGTTAGTGCAGCCACTTTGGTAAGAGACATTTGTCCCAACACGCTCCCCTTTAGGAGGCCCTTGTCAGGAAGAAGGTGGGGGAGGGAGCTCAGCCTCCACCTGAATCTGGAAGTGAAACTGGCTTCAAAGCAGAGCCCAGGAGAGGCAGCAGAGGACACCGGAGGTCCTGCTGAGACTAGAGTGGGAGCTCCTGTCCCAGGGACATCACTGGTCCTCTTGCTGCCCTGTCATCCCCTACTGTCCCTACGTGGCCCCCACCCCAGGCTGGCATTGAGCCCCTTGACAGCTTTCTATAAATGTCAACTCTTAGGTTGGACCATATGAAATTGCTGTTTCTATAGTCAAAAGTGGTTGAGTATTGGCAATTTCTAGGTGCCTCTGGTCTAGCTGCTTCAGTTTCTTCAGTCTGTAGTCCATTTAATACACAGTGCTCATTCTTTGCTAGGCACTGTGCTAAGTACTTTATAGTCATTTTTTAACTATCACAACTTTCTGAGACATAGGAATCATTCCCCACCTGACAGAGAAGACAACTGTGGCTCAGAATTGGAATTGTTTAGGGGCTGGTTCGCCCTCCAAATCTAAGATCTTAGCAATAATGACAGTATTTTGAGTTTTAGTGGCTCTGTCACGTACTAGTTGTGATGCCCTGGGAAAGTGCCTTAAGTAACGTTGACTGAAACGGCAGGTTTCACCTTTGTGGAGGTGAGAAACGTTAGTGATCTTTCTTTCTTAATTAATTAATTTTTGGCTGCGTTCGTTGGGTCTTCGTGGCTGAGCGCGGGCTTTCTCTAGTTGCAGCGAGCAGCAGCTTTTCTTGCTGCAGAGCACAGGCTCTAGGCGCCCAGGCTTCAGTAGTTGTGGCACGTGGGCTCAGTAGTTGTGGCTCGCGGGCTTGGTTGTTCTGCGTCATACGGTAACTTAAATACACTTTTCTAAACTACCTGTATTAAAAAAAGTTTTTATCAAATTATAAGAAAAGCTGAATTGTCTTTCTATTTTCTCTAAAGAGTATCTTCCCAGACCAGGGCTCGAACCCGTGTCCCCTGCATTGGCAGGCGGGTTCTTAACCACTGCACCACCAGGGAAGTCCAGTGAAGCTTGATTTCGCGTTAGAAAAACCCCTTTGGTATTCAGCGACTCAGTTTTATCAATAAAATGGGGACAAAACCCACAGCGCCCAGCAACATCTGTGAAGAGCCACAGTTCCGGGCCCTGCAGGGCCTGGGAGACGGAAGGAGCGCCACCCCCACCCACCACGTGGAGCGCCCGCCCGGCCTGCGGCGAGGCAGCAGAACGATTCCCCGGAGCGTGGGGCGGGATCGGCACGGCCCGCTCGGCCAACGCCTCTCCTAGGCCAAGACACTGGAGAGTGGCACCGCCCGGTTACCAAGTCCCGCAGCACCCCGGAGGGAAGAGGGTGGCGAGGGGCGGGGCCTGGAGGCGTGGCCTCCGCCTACCCCTGCCCCCCGTTTTTGTCCGCCCAGACACGGAAAGGTTCCCCTGCGCCTTTAAGAGGCCGAGGCGGGCGCCCGATTGGCCGAGACGCGCCGGTGACGTCACGCCGGGGCCGGCGCCGAGGCGGCCCTGACGGCCCGTGCCCTCCCCCTCCCGCCCCGCCGCGCGCTCGCGGACAGTCGGCGCGCGGGCCGGGCCGGGCCGGCGCCCCGTCACCTTTCCTTACCCGTGTCGCCCCGGGCTCCGGGGGATGCCCCCGGCCGGGCCTCCCTATGGCCGCCGACGTCTTCATGTGCTCCCCGCGCCGGCCCCGCAGCCGGGGCCGCGCGGTGCTGCTCAAGCCCCAGGTGCCCGAGGACGACGACGACTCGGACACGGATGAGCCGTCTCCGCCGCCCGCCTCCGGCGCGGCCACCCCGGCCCGGGGCCACGCGAGCGCCGCGCCACTGCCGCCCAAGGCCGGGTCGGGCAGCGAAGAGCCTCCGCGCCGCCAGCAGATCATCCACAGCGGCCACTTCATGGTGTCGTCGCCGCACCGCGAGCACCCGCCCAAGAAGGGCTACGATTTCGACACGGTCAACAAGCAGACGTGCCAGACCTACAGCTTCGGCAAGACCAGCTCCTGCCACCTGTCCATCGACGCCTCGCTCACCAAGCTCTTCGAGTGCATGACCCTGGCCTACAGGTAGGACCCGGCCGGCCCCACCTCTCGAGCGGAGCTCCCTTTGACCAAACAAGCGCGGAGGGCTGGGCCGCCTGGGGACCTCTTGGCTTCAGGCATTCCCTTTGGGTCTTCCCTCTTCGGGAGGGTTTATGGGTCTGGGGTCCCTAGTGGAAGCGAGAGGGGCGGGGGTCCTGGCCTCTTCCCTGTCAGCAGGGCTTGGGTTCTTCCGGCTTCACGTTCCCCATGCAGGCCCTCACCTCCAATTACGAGGCCACCGATTTCGGGTAAGAAAAAGGTGTAAATACAGGCTGTACCTTGTGTTACGCGACTTTATCCACCCTTCCCCCAAAAGCTTTGTGTGCTTCCAGCAATTGCCAGTAGTGGTTAGGACCACCTGTCCAGGGTGGCTTAAAGTCGCTGGTTCTAGTATTCAATGGTTGAGTCAAATTTCTGAGCCTGTTTCCTCCTTTATAAAGAGGGGATGACAGTAGTGTTTGCCTCAATTGGCTGCTGTGGGGATGGAACGAGATAGGTAAAGTGCTTATTCCAGTGCTTGGCACATAATTAGTTGCTCCAGAAGTGTGAGCTACTTTTCTTATTGCCCCAGCAGAGGGAGGCTGGGTCCTCTCACATCCCCTTTATTGGGAAGCCCTCCCCCAACTTCGGAGGGGCCCTGGCTGCCTCCTAGGAAGACTTGGAGCCACAGCTCTTGGAGGTGCAGGCTGTCCTCTTGGCAAGTTGGAGGGTTCTTTGGCTGGCTCTGAAACGTTATATGGAGATGTCAGTGTTTAGGGCGGGCATCCCAGGCACCATCCTGACCTGTGGCTCCGGCTCTAGGCAGAGATCCCTTTTTTCTAAGTCACAGAAATGCGTGGTCCTCATGGGTTAACGTGGCCTTCCACTCTCCCTTTCTCGGTGTGTTTGTTAGGTATTTGCTTCAGATAATTTCTGCCTCAGCAACAGAACTTCGGTGGACTAGCTGCAGTACAGAGCAGCCCAGCCCTGCCCAAAGCTCATGATAGGATCTCCGCAGAGTGGAGGTTACTGCAGTAGTAACTGGACTGGCTGGGGTTGTCTCAGGTCTAGTCTGCAGGCAGCGCAGGGAAAGTTTCCTTGGAGACTCCAGAAACAGTGTAAAGAAGAGTAGGAACGTTACCCTCACCCCCCCCCCTTTTTTTGGAGAGTAGGGAGCCCCACATATATTCAAGGTACACATTTACCTGAAGTTGAAACACTAGATATACATGGCTCTGGGTGGCATTTTCCCCTCTGGAATAAATGATTAGTCAACTTGTTCCTTTGCTATGTTCCTGAAACGCACCCCACTCTTCCCGCCCCCATTTCCTCTCTTGAAGGCCTCCCTGATGGTTTGTTTGCCACATGGCTGCGTTACGTTACCCAGAGCCTCCTCCAGCCTCCCTTGCGTGGCACGTTGGTTAGGCTCTGCTCTGATTCTCTGGTCTTGCCAGTTTGAGCTGGCACTGAGCCTGTGAAGATGTTCTGTGTTTTTTTTTTTTAAAAAAACCAAACGGCATTGAGATTGCAGCCCTCTGCCCTCGTTTAGCTCTGCTTACCCAGTCTCAAATTTTGAGCACTTCATTGGAATCAAACGCAACTAGATTGTAGCATATGCTACAGTGTGAGAGAGCCCTTTCAAACAAAATTGGAGGTGAAAGACAGGAATGTGCTTTATTAAGCGAACTTAATCCTCCTCTTTATTTTAATATAAACTTCTCCGCGTACAAAGAGAGAATGGTTGATTGCGTAGCAGGAGGCATGGGCTCGAAAGCACTCACCTAAGCTCTGCTAAAGGAAAAATAAACCAGTCTCCCCGCTTTGCCCTCCGTTTGGATAACCTAAAGGCTTATTATTAAATAACACCAAAGAATTTTAGTAATGGTGTGTTTTTTTTCACTTCTTTCAAAAATATTTTGGCAACTGTCCATTCCTCATTTAACTTTCTTGGTTGCAAAATGCACCCTTAGTTTGGTTTGAGGCTTACCTGGTTCTTCAAGACCGCCAGCCCCTTTGGCTCTCCTGCTTTGCTGTCATTCCCCATGTAGAGTCCTGCCACTGCAGGTCCCTGATATGTGTCCACCTAGTAATTTCTCATGAAGATGCTCTTTGTGTCTCCGCGTGGGGCTCGTTGGATGGCCCCAGAGTTTAGTTGGCAGTGTGGAACCCGGGTACAGATTGACAGAGGAGTGACTCGAAACCAGTTGTCTGGGCTGTAGCCTCTGGCCCAGAAAGCAGCATGAGAACAGAAGTGAGTTTCTGACCTCAGCTGTCCTGCACGACCACTAGCTGGCTTTCAGAGGAGGGGGGTTGAGATATGGGGGGCAGGGAGGAAAGAAGAGTCAACCCCAGAGGTGGCCTAACTTCCCTCTCAGTGCGGTGTGAGTCTTCACCACTGTTTTCCAGGTTCTGCTCCTGGGGCTGAGAGGAAGGCCAGGTGGGCCTCCTCTTCTGTCTGACTGTTTGTGGCCTAGGCTCTTTCTAACTTCAACTTCCTGTCTGTCCCCTGGCCTCTTTGTTCTAGCCGCCTAACTCTCCCTGGTACACTCTGTGCTTTTTTTTTGGTTTGGTTTCCTGTTAACTGCTGCCTCCCAGCTGTTTCCAGATGAAGCTCAACAGCTCTTTGGGGGAGGAACCAAGTGCAGGGGAAGTTGTGGTTGTCTTTCCCCAGTCATGTGAAGTGGCCTAGGGACTCTGAATGTGGTCTGTTGCTGAACATGCACTCCTGAAGGATCTTTGGCAAGACCGACTTCGGGTGGGGGAATAGGGTCTTTGAGGAGTTGGGACTAGGTGTGAATGTGCCCCGTGGTCCACCTGCGCAAGTGACAGCGCGGATGGATTCCAGCTTCATGCACCTGGCATCCCTGTCCTTCCCACACTGTGATGCTAAGAAGCCCTGTAGTGAAACATCTTGCTTTGGTCCCACAGTTTGTGTTCAATTACTGGGACGTTTGGGACGGGAAGAAGTCGCCTCTCCCCAAGGCATAGCTTAGAAGTTCATGGCTTACCTTCTCTAAGGCTTCCTGTCTGCCACTGTAAAATGGGGAGGATAAAGCTCCGCTGCAGGGTGGAAGTGAGGATTAACTGAGGTAATGTCTGTGGATGTGTCTAGTACCTGACAAATAAGAGGCAAGAGGAGCGTCCTCATTCAGCTGACATTTATTAGGAGCCCCTTTCTCATCTGTAAACTGAGGGAAATAATGTGTCTGACTGGGGTCTTTAGTGTGGCTTTCAAATGCCTGCCTGACAAATGCTAAATGGATGCATTCTTGGTTTGTCCATACTTTCTAAGGCCCCACAAAGGAGCTATGTACTCTAGAACATAGTGCCCTCTTAACACTGTGAGGAATGTCACACATGTAAATCACCCACGTGGATTCTGAACACATCTAGTAGATAGCTTTTTGTGGTTGGTTTTGGTTTCGCTTCTCTCTCTCTTTTTTTAAATTTACGTTATTTTCGGCTGCGTTGGGTCTTCGTTGCTGCGCACAGGCTTTCTCTAGTTGCGGCCAGAGGGGCCCACTCTTCACTGTGGTGCACGGGCCTCTCATTGCGGTGGCCTCTCCTGCTGCGGAGCACGGGCTCTAGGCGCGTGGGCTTCAGTAGTTGTGGCGCACGGGCTTCAGTAGTTGTGGCTCGCAGGCTCTAGGGTGTTGGCTCAGCAGTTGTGGCCGACGGGCTCTAGAGAGCAGGCTCAGTAGTTGTGGCTCACGGGCCCAGTTATTCCGTGGCACGTGGGACCCTCCCGGACCAGGGCTCGAACCCATGTCCCTTGCAATGTCAGGTGGACTCCCAACCACTGCGCCACGAGGGAAGCCCATCGCTTCTCTTTTTATGTAACTCTTTATTAGGGAGCCTTGTTGTGAATGTCTGGGGGGCAGGGGGAGAGACAGTCCTTTTATGTATTTAAAGATAAGCAGTGGGCTTCCCTGGTGGCGCAGTGGTTGAGAGTCCGCCTACTGATGCAGGGGACGTGGGTTCGTGCCCCGCTCCGGGAGGATCCCATATGCCGCGGAGCGGCTGGGCCCGTGAGCCATGGCCGCTGAGCCTGCGCGTCCGGAGCCTGTGCTCCGCAATGGGAGAGGCCACAGCAGTGAGAGGCCCACGTACCGCAAAAAATAAAAAAAATAAAAAAATAAAGATAAGCAGTAGCTTTCTGGACAGTGGATTTCTGCTCCAGTGGATATTTGAGGAGACCTTTTAATTTGGACCTGTAAGATAGCCTTGGGATACAAGTTTCTAGAATGTAACCCTGTATACGTATGTATAGTAACCCTCTGTTCCTGATTCCTGATTCCTGATCCTGAAGGTTTAGAGCATCTCGTCCTTCAAGTTTTAAGATTTCCATAGAGGAACTTTCTAATCCTAGGTGCGATAACTAGCTGTAAATGGGAACCATTTACACAAATGACTAAATTAGTTTTATTCTTCTGCAGCCATGCTGAAGAGAAGCAGTTTCTCTTCTCTTGCACTTTCTTTGGTCTTTAATCATAATATGGTGTCCATTAAAGGGCCGCACTGAGATGGGAGTGCGGGCTGCAGAGATGAGAAAAGACTGTCTCTGTCCTCCAGGAACTCACAAACCTGGGGTGGGGGACAGATAAACAGACAGTTGTAAAACAGTTAGCAAGGGCTATGATAAACAATGTGAACCAGGTCCAACGGCAGCACCAAGCAGGGTGCCGAAGCCAGTGTGTGTGTGTGTGTGTGTGTGTGTGTGTGTGTGTGTGTGTGTGTGTGTGTGTGTGTGTGTGTGTGTGTGTGTGTTTGCATAATCAGGATCAGTGTGGACAGTTTCGCCTGACATTGGGGTTTCATACGTATCTCCCCTTCCCCGTGTTAACTGTCAAAAATCATGCAGGAAGCCCCAGAGTTCCTTTTGCCTATCTTCTCCTTGTTGGTAGTCCAGGACCAAATTTCCTTTTTCTGTAGAGGCTGAATGGCTGATTGCCGTCCTGATGGAAGGGCAAAGAAGGGTGATCAAATTGGGAAGAGCCCGGGGAAAG